CAAAAAAAAAACACTAAACTAATTGAGTTTCTTTTTTACAGATTTTCAAATAAGACGTTTAGCCATCTTGATACCATTTGTCGTAAGAATCACTGAAAAACCCTTTGAGTTATTCAGCTATAAAGAGAACAGGTTAAAATCGTTTTGTGTCAGCCCCACTATGTCTTCCCAAATGAGCAACGGTGAGAGGAAAAAGATCATTCAGGCCCTGGGTAATGGTACTAACATTCATACTCTGTCTTCCATCTTTAAAGTCCCTTCAAAAACCATCAAGAGAACGGTGAATAAAGTTTAATAAAGATGGGACTGTAGAGAGGAAATCTGGATCAGGAGGTCACAACAGGAAGAGGGATCATCATTTCAACTTAGAGCTAAATATATTCTTATTGTTCAAAGTAGACTACAACGGTGTTATAAAAAATAATCGGAGAATTCCAGTAAGATATCTTTAATCATTTCTGAGATACAACCGTTCAAAGCTTAATCTAACAATTGGAAAATTTTGCTGTTAAAGCCGGCATATATATTTTAGTTATATTTAGGCATCAAGTATTCATCCAAACAAGTTAGATTAAAAAGGTCCAAGGTCAGCTTGTTTCATTTTTATTATATTTTTCCTGTTTTTGTGCTCGATGTTGTGGATAAACTGTCCAAAGTTCATATTTTGTTATTTTTATTCGAGGACTTTCGATTTCCGCAGTAATTATTAAGAACCAATGTGGTAGTTAGAATTCCTTTGTTTGCATCCATTTATTCATTGGGAAGCTGGACGTTTCAAATGGTCTAGCGTGACGTCATGTGTAACAGCTATTGGGAACGAGGCTGCACAAAAAAGAACAAACGTCCAGCTTGTAGAGAGATAAAACGTACATATAAGTTTATCAATGAATAGAGTAATTGAAAAGAAACACCCTATTTTTTATGAATGGCCAGCCAGGAGTCATGACTTAACATCCTGTGACATTTTTCTTTGGGGTTAGTTAAAGGCACAAGTCTACTATACCAAACCAAGACTTTGTAAGAACTTGAAGAACAAATACAAGAAGTGCTGTCTTCCATACCACAGGAGTTCTTGGTGAAATCAGCTGACGTGATTCCTCGGCGGCCCGAGAAGCTGGTAGCGAAATCTGGTGCCCATATCAAATTTTAAATTAAACCCCATGCTAAACGTTTATCTCTCATATCCATTTCTTGTAAAAATTATAGTTAATAAATAAATTATATGTATTTATATTTATTTATTTATAAGTATTTCAAAATGGGGAGTTACTTTTCAATCACCCTGTATATAAACAAGAATATGTGTCACAAATCATCGTGTGCTGGCCTTGTTCAGATTGCTGACCACGCTAGATCACACGCTCTCTCGCAGAAACTGTAACTAAGGTCTGCTCAGCATAATTGCAGTATTAACCACAGGTGGGTTCTTTGAGTGCTGAACAAACACAAATGTGCCTGAGCGAGTGTCTGCAGTAGGGATTGGCTAGTCGCCCGAGTAGACAGGTACCTTCGAATACGAGTATCCAGCAATGTTTTTACATATGTGTACGGAAAATCTGACCTATTATTTGGTGTTTGCACACTGCAAACTGAACACCATCTAATCATTGCTTATTCTAAACAGGCAAGCCTTTCACGGTATCATGTTAATAAGCAGTACATTGAGTACTTGTAAAATACCCAATATCGACAACTCCCAAATATTTCTCGATCAGAGTGTGGGCCTGTCATGTGCTTTTGTCTGCCTCCTGTCGCCTCTGTTCAAAATCGGTAAAAAAATATTTCTAACTTTTAAATCAGTTCGCCCATTCCCCTGATGAAAGATCGTCTTCTTTTATGTGACGTGTCCCTTTAAAACGTAAGCGATTATGGCTCTCCACAACTTCCTATCCTTTGCAGCTCTACGCAATGTTTATCTCCCTATTATCCCTGCCAGTCCTTATTCTGCCATTCACAATCTCTTTAAGAAGGTTACTCTGTTTCTCTTGACCTCTCTTGACTTCAGTATTTCCTGTGAATATTAAATTCTCCAAGCCTAATTTCCTCATTGTATGTTCCAGAAAATTCAAATATGTTTTTCCTCTTACAAATTCTAAGTATGTTGTTTTGTTATTTCCTTAATACTTCTTCGTTGTCCAAATATTCTGTCTACAGCAATCTCTGCATCCTTCTGGAGAACCACATCACTATTGGCTCAGGTCTTCTCTTTATCTTTGAGAAAATTATTCAGCATTCTTTTTTATACTAAAACTTACCTAATACGAGGCTCGAGAGCTGCTCAAGGTAGAGGGTTACTGCTAAAATGCTTATGATGTTTGAAATGAATGAAAGCGGAGGTAGCAGAAAGCATATGCGGATATGGCGGATGAATAACGATTGACCCTTGACTTGAAAAGGTTAACATTGTAGTGTTCGCGGAAGCATCCACGCGTTAGCCTGTTCCACAAATTAGCTATTCTTGGAAAAAAGTTATCTTAGTAGAACTTTTTACTTAGAGGATTACGGCCATATCACGTTGAAACACCGATTCCCGTACGATCACTGGTTAAGCAACGTCGAGCTTGGTTAGTACCTAGATGGCTGACTGCTTGGGAGTAACGTGTGCTGTAAGCTTTTATGTGCGGGTAATGTAATGTTTAACGGCTCGGAATTATTAATCGGGAGCCGTGTTCTAATTCCAGTTGGGTTGGTTATATTCACTTACGCGCAAATACCCTTTGGAAAGGTATGAATTTATATCTTCCCTCAGCTATGGGTTAATTAGTGTTTTAATGGACTGTCCCACACTCCCTATCGTTTATGTGGACTGACTATATCAGTAGCTATATATGGTGAAGACAGGATATACTTGGGGGGGGGACTTGCTTCGGGAATTAGTTGCAGATTCGTCTCCAGCTAAGCTAGTCGAACTCTCTGCCTTCGGGCGGAGAGGAACCCAGACGAGGCCCTGCCCTTCGGTATAGCCTCGTCTGGGGTGGTAGACAGCTACCCAACCCCGTGTACACGGGGTCTACAGGGAATTTTTGCTCGAGCCTACGGGTTCGGTTTTGCCCCGCATTAAAAAAAAGGCCTTGTGCCACATCCTGCCTCGCGGGGTGGTAAGGTAAATAACCTTGCTTCGGGAATTAGTCGGAGATTCATTTCCGGCTATGCTGGTCGAAGTCTCTGCCTTAGAGAGGAACCCAGACGAGGCTATGCCGAAGGTCAGAGTCTTGTCTGAAGTGGTAGACAGCTCCCGGACCCCGTTTTTACGGGGTCTACAGGGATTTTTGCCCGAGCAAAAAAAAACGGCCTTATGTCACATCCTGCCTCGCGAGGAGGTGAGGTAAATAATCTTATTTCGGGAATTACTAGCCTGCTACCCGATTCCCTGTCTTTCAGTGATGCATTCTCTATTATAATAAACCTCTCTTCTTTCAATAAGTAACTGCTGCTAGTCTCTACCTTTACAAAAGCCAGATCAGGCCAAAAGTAGAGTACTGTTGTCATACTGGGATGGGAACTGTCCAGATCTCACTCTCTGGTTCTGATAGAGTCCAAAAGCGTCTCCGAGCCCTTGTGGGTGATGAATTATTCTCCACTCTCCAATCACTCCCCCAAAGGCAAGCTTCTCGCTGCTCTACCGCAACTTCCATGGAAAGTGCTCGGACGAACTACATTCCCTGGTACCGCCAATTTAACCCTTCACGGCAAGAACACGCCATGCCACTCACATCAGAGCAAACCACCCCCATTCCTTCCATATTTCGGTGAAAAGTAAGTTCCACTCGAACAGCTTCTTCCCGTGGACCACTGCCATATGAAAGCGAACTTCAAGAGGATGTTTCCCCGATCACTACAATCTTAAACTGTTCAAGACTAGGGTTAACCGTTATCTTTCACTCTTATACATAGAAATGACCTCCTAACGTAACCCTCTGCTTTGAATGGCCCCGGGACTTGTAATGGGTGAAACTTACTGTAAAAAAATGGTATCCGTTGCAAATATATACTACACATTAAATGTCGAATCGGTTGTTTTTAAATACCAATTTATTCACATCTATTTGGAATAGTGAGGGAACTTTGTCTATTTTGTCACAAGTGAAAAAAATACTTAAGTGAACTGAGATCTGCTTCTACCGACGGACGTTGAGAATACAATGACCATGTCATAGAATAAATTAAGGAGATTTCAAGGAAAATAAGAATTAGAAACTAACCGTTGATAACAACTAGAATATATAATCAGGAAAAGTTTGAGGAATTTGACGCTCATGAGACATCCAAATCAAAAGAAGTAGACAAAAGCTGAGTAAATTACTTGAATGAATGCTGTAAATGGATGTAGTAACAAGAGTCAAAAAGTGACAGAATAGCAATAAAAAATAAGAAGCTGTGGAGAGATATGATCGTCCATGTCCTGAATGGACACAGAACAGAGAGAAAATGTTTGTGTGTGATTTCGGTAAAATCTAAATTCTAAGATTTCAATCATTAAAAGATTTGCAATTTAGGGCTCAAAGTTCCCTGCTAATCCATCCCGTCTAAAGAGCATGCGAGCGATAAGGTACTTTTAATGAAAGTAGGAATTACAAAAAAGGATATATATATATATATATATATATATATATATATATATATATATATATATATATATATATACATGAGGAAAGTCAAAAATTATCCTCACTCTTGTCTAAAGATTTGATATGCCGAAAGTGCGGACAATTTTTTACTTACCCTATATATATATATATATATATATATATATATATATATATATATATAGATAGATAGATAGATAGATAGATAGATAGATATGGATATATTTAGTCAACCGAGTTGTGGTTCAACCAGCCAATATTGAGAATATTATAGTCAAAAACGGGAGATTGTAAGGAGAAAATAGCTACAAAGAAACTGTTGCTAAAAAGGTAGAATTAAATAGATGCAATAGATTATGAGGAAAGAAGACTTAGAGAATGTAACTCTCACAGGATATCAAAGTCAAGAGAAGCAAACAAAAGCTAACAGTAAATTATTTGAAAAGGAACTAGTGTCAGAAAGTAACAAAGGGGCAGTAAAAACAAGAAAATGTGGAGGGTCATGATCGCCTAAATCTATAAAGAACACAGCAACAAAGAGAGTAATTTGGGTAAAGGACGAAATTAAGTTTCAACCATGTAACGTTTTCCATTTTAGGGTCGGCCCATGTAAATCTCAGTACCTTGCCGATGAGCTATCACTAAACTACACCGGATCGCATCAGCCCACGCTGGTTGATTGCTGTTTAGACGCGTGATATATAGATCAAGTGAAAGGTAGATGTTAAATAAACGTATCTGGAAATATTTAAAGAAGCAAGCAAAATACAGAATGAGGAAAGAATAAAGTAAAACACATGGATATATGTATGTACCCACTGCGATTTTCTGCAAACATCGCCACACTTACTCGGGACCACGGCTTAGATACACTAACGCTTGTTCGTTCATATATCTATTCGGTATTTACGAAGCTTATTTTTGTACGGCATAAGACTAAGTGGAAAGAAATAGGTGGCGTGGAAGATTGTGTTGCAAGTAGGAGTGTGTCTACTTGATCTGAAAATCAACATTCCCAATTCTAGCTTTTACCTAGGCTCGAACACTGGCCTCTAACATCGACGGAAAATACACAGTGCTAAGAAAATTCGGTCAAGGAGAAAATTTGCTCTAAAAATTATGGCAAAAGATATCTTTCATTTTTCGGGTATCATTATTTGTTGCAGCAATTAATAACCTTCACTAATCGGGTATAGATGTCGGTTTGCAAGATTCCACCCAGAATGTAACCCTTTTTAGCATTCGTCTTATCTTAAACCCCGCCAACGGAGCCAGTCAGATTCGGGGCGTCGTCCTTTTATTAATATTATCTACAATAAGAGTATTAAAATATGTGCCTGGTGCCAAATATTTGGCAAAATCCAAACAATTTTAACAGGCTATAAATTATATCAATCCAGAGAGAGAGAAAGAGAGAGAGGATGAGAGGGAGAGAGAGAGAGTGAAGGAGAGAGAGAGAGTAAAGGAGAGAGAGAGTGAGTGAATGAGAGAGAGTGAATGAGAGAGAGTGAATGAGAGAGAGAGAGTGAAGAAGAGAGAGAGAGAGACAAGCAGATAAACAGGGGCAGGCAACACTATTCCGATTGTATATATTTTATCCTCCCGGAAAACAATACAATTAGTGTCTACTTCCTTATTACCCATTGCCAGAGGTAAACTCAAAGAGTCATTATATATATATATATATATATATATATATATATATATATATATATATATATATATATATATATATATAGGTAATTAAAAAAAAAACATATATATATAGGAGATTAAAAGAAAAAACATGTTAAAAATCGCTATACAATAGCTTTACTAAGCTGTGCCTCATCTGACGAAGGACTTTCTATGGCAAAATGTCTTATCTTAAACCTGGAAAAAGTAACTCAATATGTTTTGCGATTTTTTTTAGATATTAACTATTTTGTGTGATGGACAAGTATGCTTTTACACAATTAGGACAATTTTGCAGCTTCACCCGGTATATATATATGAAAATATAGTTTCAAGGTATGTCATATTTATGGAATAAAGTGCTCAATATCAGGGATAGAGCGTGTGTAAATATAAAAGTGAACATAGAAGTCAACACTTAGAGGCACTCTCGAAATAGTTGAGAAAAAAACAACACATGTGACCTTTTTGTTTTGTGTTTTTGTTGAATTCTCGCTTTCAAGTGTTTAACAACATGTTTATCGTAGATTTTACCAATATGCGATTAGCTTAGACTCCAACTGGCATGGAATTAGAAACGTTTGCTCACAATCTAGTTTATCAAACCACGCGCATAGTTGAATTAGCAACAACTTTGTCTCTACCAATGGAACTGATTGTTAATGGCAGTAGCGTGTAGAAGAGGTGGGGGGAGGATGCGACAACCCCGGGCATCCATATCGGGAGGGTATCCGATCAAAAAGTGAAAAAAAAATTAGTTTATATTTAATTTGAATAAAGTGCTTATTTCATGATTCATCTGTTTTTACATATTTAAAATGTCTTTCTTTCTCATATTTCTTAGTACTAGGACCTATAGGCCTCCCTACTTGAGTCTTAGGGGTAGACAAAGAGTTAGCCCCGGCCATCACCAAACATCACCAAACGTCTGCACTGGTTAATAGACATGTCTTGTTTCTGTGGCTCACACAAGATCATATACTGACACAAGAAACAACATTCGCGCCCTCAACTTTGAAAATTTCAAAATCATTGAATTCTTTTCTCCTCCGCTGAAGTAGTAGAGAGTAGTAGTGGCGATGACAGATATCCCCCTATCCCCACATCAATCCTGAGACTGTCACCACTAAGACCAAACCTAATGATTTTATTAGTTCTTGGGCAGAAATCCACTTTTGCCAACAGTCCAAAAATGAGATCAAGACCCACTACAAACACAGAAAATGAACATTGAAACATTAAAAGAACATAAAGAAAATTTATTCCTTTAAAAATTGATTCCTTTAATTTGCCCGAAGAAGGTCACGAGACCGGAAACACGTGTAGCAAAAATATGAAGAATAAAATATAT